AGCCAGTTCTTGAAAGACATTTCACGTAACCAGTGTCTCAATAAATGCGCTAGAAATTCAAGTAATTATTGCCGAGCAGTAACGAACAGGGCAAATTGAACTGCTAAAAACCCTCGAAAAGGTGTACTCAAAAAGAAAAAAAGCTGAAGTTGCACGTTGGCCATATAAGCGATACCGCGGCCGTCAGCCCTCCTGCTGCTGTGTATCACCGTGTCAGGAAGGAGACGACCTGCATATATTTTAAGTCCCAAGTTACAGTTTGATTGCATCAAATCGATAGTGGTTGTGCTCCCATGTTTTGTAATAGAATTCCCTTTTCGATCGATTATAGTAGAATTTGGCTAGTGGGACCAACAATTTAATGCGCTCAAAATCGGGCGTTCCGTGGTGAACCCAGTATGGGATTAAGCTGCAACAAGGACGAACTAAAAATGTAAATGAAGCTGGGTCCAGGTTCTGCTTAAAGTGCTCTCCTTATTTGACAGTTCTCCTTCCAAAGCCTGTTGAGTGATTTCCAATGAAAATGTTGTACTTGTGGTTTTTCGGAGGGTGGTCGTATTCACTGACATAGGCCTAGTACTATTGGAAGCAGTGGGGAGAGGACTACTGGAGAAGCGGGAAATTAGGAAAGTTTCAATTTTTTCATTGCATGCCAGTTCAGCAGTGTTCCCATTTTTCGTTGAAGGCTACATTTTAGGTTTATGGGGTTGGCAGTGGGGATTGGTCGTGGGGCTATCAATGAATACCATGAAAATGGCCGCAGGGATAGAGGAAAAACAGAAACAACCAAGGAGTCTACCTCTTCCAGTGTCTCCGGAGGCTTGCGAACTTTAGATATTTCTCCAGTTCTGTTTGCTTAGCGATCATCATAATCTCATCTGTACTATGACAGCATTCCGCCAGTTCCTAACTCCTCCTTTTCTCCTGCTAGGGAAGCGGCACCTGACTGCTTTCATTGGGCAACTTTAAGTTTTCTAAGTTTTTTCTCGGCCAAGTCTTCAGTTTTCACAGAAGTGTGTTGGTAACCCTGGTCTTCACCTGGCGACGAAATGAGAACCTGGACATGGCCGGTCTGCATGTGACCGAGTGGCCGAAATGTACTTTTAAAGTTTTCCTGTACTTCGGTACGTCAGTCACACGCGAATGCATTGCGAATGGACATTTCGAACATTCGCGTCAAACAAGCCTCATGATTAAACTACTCAGGTAAAACCTCCCATGGCTCCTATGAAGCTGTCCACAAAGCTTAGTGAAGTGCCGTTCAGGCTCGTAAGTAGGCGGCAGGGGCGCTAGGTTCTTGTCAATTCTTCAAATTTATGGTCGTTTGTGTGTACTTCTATTGTTCCGCCATGCAGCTATACATCTGTGCCCCACCTGGAGCGTGCTGTTTCGCATATTCCTGCATCACTGCACGCTGGGTACCTCCCAGGAGGACCGCCGCGCCGGCAGAAGGCCTGATTTTGAGCAGGGCGACGCAGTGCGCGGTAGTAGGGAATTCCGCGGGGGGGGGGGTGCCAAAAGGTAGATAGGATGCCCCATTGTGTGCCTTCATCAAAATCACGCGCCGCGCCGACTGCTACGCCGACCAGGGTCAACCGTCCGTTCGAACTGTTCGAACGAAGGGGTCGCATTTTGGTCGGAAGGGGGTCGCAATTTCGAGGACTGCCAGCCACAGGCGCGTGCGTGGCGTATCCGAGGGCAAGAATTGTTTGTGCAGACCGCATTAGATTCGATTAATTATGCACAGAGAGACAGTTTTGGGCAAATTACGGTGTTTTCCTTGAGGAATAGAGAACAGTTGAATGCATCTCCATGAAAAGTTTGACTTCTTGTGGCTGAAATTGAACTTCTTCGGGAACCTACTTTTCTACGGACGGTTCTTCCACAAAATCGTGAAACACATAAGAAAGAAGAAACCTCGCGGTCTTCAAAAATGTCTTCGCCTCTTTCCAACATGCTCTTTGAAGGAAGTTATTATTGCTGAAAGCTCGAAACCTCGCATGTGCTGCTCAAAAACCTATGGGATCCAAATGTTCGAACGTGGGATTTTCTCGAAAAATGAACTTTGAAAAATGGTTTAGGGCTTGTTAGAAAGAGCAAATTCTGCTCTTTCACCCCATGGAAAGAGGGAAACGCAGCAATCAAAATGAAGCGAGTTATGCTCGTTGAAAGCCCAAAAACTCGCGATTTCAAAGAATGTGTTCGGCAAAACCGCCCGAAATGTTCGAACGTGGGATTTTCTCGAAAAATGAACTTTGAAAAATGGTTTAGGGCTTGTTAGAAAGAGCAAATCCTGCTCTTTCACCCCATGGAAAAAAGTGCATCACAGAAATGAAAATGAAGTGAGTTATGGTCGCTGAAAGCCAAAAACTCGCTTTTGCACGAAAAATGTTCGAACGGGACAATTTTTGAAAAAGGGGACAATCACTTAACTTTTTATACTCTTTTGTTAGAGAAATATTTGAAGTTTCTGAAACTTTTTACAGATTTCCAAAATGTCGCATACGAAAGATTTTATGGGCCTCAAAGTTGGAAGGTGCGCCTTCTCAGAATTTTGGGTTTTCCGCTTCTGACAGAAATACTTTTGGGAGAGTTAGGTCATCCTTGCAATTTTCTGTAAAGCCACCTCAGGCACAGTTTAAACCTACCTCAATAAGTGAAACAAATACGTCTCAAGAAAGTTACACTCTCCTAAAACTTTTTCTTCGCCGCGTCCCAGTTTTCCAGCGTCCGGGTGATACCTGCCGCGCTCCAAGGTTGACGCCGCAACGCAAACGCTTTCTGCGGCGGTTTCTGACGCAATCATGTCAGTCCTACTCTTCTTTAATCCTTCCTCTTTTTTCAGCTGTTTGAGCAGAAGTTCGTCAGTCTTCATGTTACTTGTTGGATATCCCTCCATTTGGTCTTACACATTTCGCTTTCATCCTCATTTTGGCGTGATTGTGAGCGAACAAAAATTTTGATCTCGCGAGGCTAACCATAAAAAATAGCTTTCATTAGCCAGTGCCCTGTGATTCTTGCTCCTTTGGGGCTCATCTTAGGAGATGCATTGATGGAGAACGTAACTCTCTTTGATTTACTCCCTTGAACTGCTCTTGTGATTCTTTCGGAAGCATGAAGTTTGAAGTTTTGGGCAACATGAAAAAATATTGAATTTTTTTCAGAAATTCAATGATTTTTTGAAAACAATTCAATTCAAATTTCAGTGAAGATCTCAATATTCAAATGTTCTGTTCATATTTCATGGAAGTTCATTGTCCATTTGAAAACAATGAACTTACGAACTTACGAACACAACATTTGAATATTGAATAACATTGAATTTTTGAAAAAAATTCAATGATTTTTTGAAAAGAATTCAATTCAAATGCCAGTGAAGAATTCAATATTCAAATGTTTTGTTCTATGTCATGGAAGTTCATTGTCTTTAAAAGGTTTTAGTTCACTGTCTTTGAAGTAAAATGAGTGAAATAAATATTTCACTTAACATTTAGTCAGCACATTCGGCACTTCCATTACCTAAGAGGGGGTCGCAACTGGACCCCCTTGAGATAAGGGGGTGACCCCCTTGAGAAAAGGGGGTCGCAAAAACCCTGAAAATGTTCGAACGTGACGGTTGACCCTGCGCCCGACTTGCCTTCGTGTGCGCGCGATTGGCCTCCTGGGGGGTACCCCTGCACGCTATGTGTTATACGGTACCACTGCCTTCTTTAAACACTATGTTTAACCCTTTGACGACAATGGCACCCAATGGTGGGTGCCACCTTGAAATTTCCTACTTTGTGCATTTGAAAATTTGTAACACCCCAATAATTATAAGCAAGTTCCATAATATCTATGACTAGCACGACTTACAGAAATGTTTACTAAAGCTAATCTTCTCAGGAAAGTCTTGCATTTTTGCTAGCGTGAATGTGTCAGTATGAGGCATAGTGGACAACAATAACATAAGTTTGCACGAACGAACATTCGGCTTCGAAGGAGAACAAACTCACGAGAACAACTTTTCTGTACGGCGGGGCATTTGAAAAGGTCTTGAAAGCTGTCCTTCCAGTTTTCCGACTTGTTTATAAGAACAAAGGTTTTTTTTCGTTCCTATTTATGATCGATGGGTCTCAAGCCAGTGATCTATGGGTGAGATAGAATCATGATTTTTTTTTTTGAGGAAGGATTCCCTTGAGCCTCTACTCGTAGTGCTTCCCTTGCTTTCCTTCTTTCTTTTTTCACTTTCCCTTCACACCGCTTTTCAAACTTCATTACTGAAGGCTCTTACGCACCAACCATACCTCTAAGAGGGAAGAGGGGGAGCGCTTTTTGAGTTTTCTTCCTTTTCATCTTCCCAGACACATTTTTTTCCAGGTCTTCCGTGCATATGACGCCCTGAAACGACACCAACGTGAAACGTCGACTGAGGAGGCATGGAATCGCGCCTCAATCGAGTTGTGCAAGGCGTCTCGAGTATGTCTTCATGAATTTGTGGTTGTCTCTTGAAAATCCTTTTTTTTTGCTTTTAGATGCACGTCCGCCTTTATCTGATCCGTACGTTCCTGGAAAAAGTTGCCACCGCCCCGAGACGCCTCTCTACGAACACCGCTTACCGATCTCACGCGACTCTACGCTTTCGACATGATCACTGCTAGTCAAGGAGAATTTTTGAAGGTATATTGGACAATCTCACGAAAAAACTTTTTCACCACTTCTTTTCGATCGTTCTCCCGCCTCAGAAACTCTACGGGACAACAAGAAGAACGACGAGCAGCTTAGGAAAGTAATTATAAATCCGTAATTCTTACCAAAATCAGCATTTGTTCTAGGGTGGCTACATGTCGGAAAGTCAAGCGGAGGGAATTCGAGATGGTATTTATCGATGCTTGGAGAGACTCCGACCGAATGCCGTCTCGTTAGTTGACAGCTGGGACTTTGACGATGCTGAACTTCACTCGGTAAGCATCCATGGAGTGCTTATTTGAATCAATAAAGCACCGTCCTTGAGAGCTCAAAGTCTTAAGGTTCTTGGACGTCGTGATGGGAACGTCTACCCAGCCCTGCTAGAATGGGCCCAGAAGAGTCAGCTGAATAAGACTGAGGTGAAACTTGGGACTTATATGGTCTTTGACACTTGTTTATTTATTTATTTGTTTATTTATCATTGCACACGCGGTGCACCAACTTCAAGTGAAAGCTATACCATCAGGTGCTGCCGACGTTCGAGAAGTACCTTGGACCAATGATGAAGGAAGGACGATCTAAGTTGTAGTTTCGTGATTGTAAATATACTGAAGATTCTTTTAATAGTTTGTTTTTTTCGATAATCGAACATGCTCCACGCCCAGGGTCAACCATCGAGTTGGGAAAATTTTCAGCCTGCACGGCCTCTTTTCGGAGAGTTCAGACGACTCTTCCTCATCGGTAATTTAGACCTATCTGTGAGCTCCTAGTAATACCTGGTCCTATCGAAACACTTTCGATCTTTGAAATGTATGTAGGTTGGTGAAGCTGAGATGGCGTGGAGGAGGGGCCAGAACAGCTGAGGGAAAGTTGAGAATTTTCCCGGAACTTCTCCAAATTGTAAGGAAGAACTTTCGACATCCCAAAAATTTTCTTCCTTTGCTTTTCAAAACATAATGATGGCAATTCATCAAGAAAGACTCCTTCCAAATTCACACATGCTACCTACCCCCCCCTATCTATCCCTGTCGTTGGGAACTGCTCACAACGGGGTGGACCCGGATTATGAATTATCATGAAGACGTTTCAATGATTGCCGCCACTTTCATCCATAGCGGCACTCATCCGATATATTCAAGAGCTCAAGATTGTCAACGCATCGCGAATAACAGCGTAACTCACCCGATCCCTCTTCCCACGGCAAAATGGGGTCAACGCCCGCAGCACACGTTTGAACCGTGAAAATGGCAACCCTCTATCTTTGTGCATAGCTTTATCCCCACACATGAAGAGGCTTAATCATCCCTGGGATGAATGTGGGTTCTCGCTTTAAAGTCATTCAATTACTCTCTTGATAAACCATACACAGTGCATGCCGTCTGCACCTCGATGCAAGGACGCTGTCTCAATCGTAGGAGGCCACTTTCGCCCGCTCGGTCGCTTAGTGTGACTGCAACCTACTATAATTATCGCGGTAGCAAAATATCTAACACCAGTGAACACCGCAACGTTTGATAAAAGAGAGCAGGGGTTCCAGCATAACACAGAGGAACGTTTATTTAATGCCTTGTTCCACTGATAGTTAACAGCTACGAGGTATGGTTAATGAAACAAGTAAAGTATATGAATGAAATTCCGCTTGTCAATGTTTCGTTTGAATGCCTTAATCATGCTCCAGCTCCGCAACGGGTGGATCGTACTGATATCGAATGGTTTTCTCTGGTGTGTAGTCCTCGGCGTACATTTCTTTGAAGTTATCACGCTGAAATGTTCCTATAAATATGACAACACCAGAGCTGCTATATAAGCACCTCCTGCATACACTGTGGGTCATCCCAAATAGTGCTATAGGTGGCAACTAAAGGGCGGTGGACGAGAGAGGGGAGTGATAGGTCAGTCGGAGGGCTGCAATGGATGGGGAGGCACGAGGTTTGTTGGGAAGTGTTGCGCGTAAATCTTCCCAAAAGTTCAAATTCAACTCCCACTGGAGCAAAAGGAAAGTATTACCCGTTAGGGTTGGTGATGAAGGCGGAGGGAAGTCAGTGAATTTTCCATAATACTGCTTTAATGTACGGTAACCCTGGTCTATACTTCAGCCCCTTAACTAGGTGTTCAACTCCTAAGTGGAAGTGGACAGAAGTGAAAGCGTAGAGCATACGCAGGGAAAGGAAGATTCCGATGGCTGCCGATTGACAAACTGGTACCCAAAAAGACTTCGGTGCTCATTTCCTGCTGTTAGGGATAATTCGAAATAGGGCAGGTGGTAGGTGACATCGGCCCTATTTCGAATAATTCCTAACAGCGACTAAGTCAGAAGAGGAGAAGAGTCAGGGAAAACACGAATTGCTCACATTCACCCTCACATTCTCCCCCAGAATCCCTTCTTCTTTCTAACTTGGTCCCAAGGGCTGTTAATGGCTCACTCACTTGTCCCCACCTCCCCCAAAGACATGAGCTCCAAGATTTATATGGGAACGGCTCCTGTAGAAGGCAATCCTTACCGCATACATTAGTTCTCATCGTGGGTTCCACCATCTCCAATGGGTGCATTCGATCGAATGTCTAACCGTTTTTGTAATTTGCGGGCTTTTTTGCTGCTACGAAGCGAGCGAATGGATTGCTCTGAAAATTTCATGTGACCTCTCAAGTTGACATCCATTTTTCGTACGCTGAGGGGGTGATAATGCTGAACGGCGTGAC